GGGCAAATACGCGTAGAGTATTTTAATAAATTAGGGACAAATACACAAATCTGACTTAATTCCAGTGATTAGCATTGGCTGAACTGGATTCATTCAATTTTCGTATCTAGAACAAATCTTTCGTCGGATAGTTAAGTGTTCCTCCGTGCACTCCTTAACTGTGAAGTAAGTGTACATGTCAAATCTATTCTTCGCATGTCCGACTCCACCTCATGAGGGACAAAGTATAGTACCGAGTAAGCTGCTGTGTCTACGTCACATAGGTCAACTGGTACATAGGTTTCGGGCTGCGAGACATGAATAGCTACTTTAGCAGTGAATTTGTTTTCACAGCTTTTTGGACCTACCAGGCGCACACACACAAATGGCATTAGGCATGTGTGAACGCACTGGCATAGGAACATCACGTTACCGGTAACTAACGAATCACACGAACGCGAGTATTTCGACTTTGCCCAGCAACGCATAGGTCAGGGAAGTCCGACACATCCAGCGATCGAACAGTGGTGCGGTGGCCAACTGACAGTTTTGCTGACGCCGATATAACTAAACGGAACCGTGCTTCGAGATTTCGCGTTCGACCGTGGCGGACGCATTGACAGTCGAAAACAGCTTCGTATTTGTGCACACTCACGGACACACGTACAGCGCATGCCCTTGTTCATTTCTGTCTGATCTTAAGCGTCGCTTGACGATCACCGTATGAAACACCGATGATTCCCCATCGGACAAACAGTGAAACTATGTGCATGCCCATGTTACCCAACTTGGGCGAAAAGCCGAATCAGTAACTGGTGCCAAGAAACAACATCCGGACAGAGAGTGCGGTGCTCGGTACATAAAGACCAACGAAAATGGCCACACACAACACCCCGTATCGGAGTATATTTAGTCAGCTATCTCATGGTACCCGTCAAAATAGTCTGATGAATGACATGTTAACCACCGAAGGTAAACGAATTGTGGCAGCTAAAATTGCGAGCAGTTCTGGTAGCGGCGGTGCCCCAATACGAGTGATAAGTGCATTCATACAAGTTAAGGACTACGCTGGTTTGGATCGTTATTTGGGAAAGCATCAAATACCTTTGGATATACTAACATCTGCGTTACAAACAGCATGTATGAGTGCAGACAGCGAAGCAGTGGAAATTTTTTCCAAACACGGGGCAAATGTCAACCATGTAGATCAGTTCGGTACCACGCTGCTTCACTTTGCCATGCGTGGGGGCGGCGACCAACACGTGGTAAAAGCTCTGGTTGCTCATGGTTTGGATTATATGAGTTGGCGTTCGGAAGGACTACCACTGTTACACTGGGCATGTACGTTGGGATACATTGACCTTGTTGAGTAAGTAAATGAACATTATTGAACCGCTTTTGGCATGTCACCTTTATTTTTTTTAACAAAAAAAACAAGCTTTTATATTCAATTC